AAAAAAAAAAAAATGTCCCACAAAAACTCACATGACTATAAAAAAAATAAATGTCCCATAAAAAGTCACATGACTAAAAAGATAAATGTCCCACAAAAAGTCACATGACTAAAAAAAAAAATGTCCCATAAAAAGTCACATGACTAACAAAAAAAAGCGTGAGGCACGCATGACAAACAATGATGACGTATGAACTTTGACTTGTCTGCTCTGTCCGTTTGTTAATGTGTGTGTTGACAAATCTTGCATTTCAATTTTGACCCATTTCCTGATTCCCCAATTGAGCTAAAGCAAAGACCATTGAGTTCATGGGCTACGAAATTAGAAATAAACATTTTAAAAAACTAAAACATCCTTTTTTTTTTTTCTCCGTAAAAGCATTTTGTGGTATGCGTTAAATGAATTCAGTGGCGTCACTAAGGGAGCGGAGTTGCGAGCTTCACCGGGTGACAGGCTCACGGGGGTGGGGGGGGGGTGGGGGGAGACGACACACACATATGAAAAGGCTTAATTGCATATTAATATCACAATACATATGTCATTTGCACGTGTACGACACGGTGACATGAACATGGGCGTGGGTGTCGCCATGTTCCCACTCCCCTTTGATTACGTCACACTATCACCGAGGTACTATTCAACATTTGTGTAGCGCCATTGGGCGGTTTAATAACACCTTGATTTGTTGCATAATGGGGGTCGGGGCACCAAAGGAATTCCTAAATGTTGACGGCGTAGGCTGCACGTAAAATCAACGGCATTCCTCCGACATTTGTGGTAGAGCTATTTTTAAATTAAAATCCGGGTCAGGTCAAGCTGAAGCCATGTGGCAAATGAAATCTTATATAAACTCGACCCACCAGTGTTGCGACCAGAGACAGTCTCCGCAGTACACGGGGAGAAAAATAAAAGTTGACCGTGGTTCTAACATACTCTCTAACACAAGAGTGTTCGTAATAAAGAAATACAAAACATCGTGTTGTGTCATTACTGTCATTGAACACAGTTCGCTGAGGCAGGTGAAACGAGTTCGTTTTAATTGAAGTTAAAGCAAGGAATCTTTCGGCGCTGCAATTCTTTCATTGTGTGCTAACTTGGGACAAGAGAAATTTGTGTTATTTGATTAATCCGCCATGAAAACATTAAATCTCCAGCCACTTCTACTGCTTCTGGTGAGTTTAAATACCGTATATTACTACTTGTATAGATTTAAGTCATGTTGGATTTTCGTCTTCTCATTGCTTTTAGTGTTTGAAATCTCCTGAACTCAAGTTATCCCAGAGAGTCTCTCTTTAAGTTTGAGAGCTTGTTAAAGAGCTCTTACCGAGCTCTGTCATGGTAGGGTCGTCTTTATGTGTACACCACAAACTAAGAATTAAACGAAAGATCCACACTGCCCAGACGGAGCAATGCCTACAATTTCGATCTCAGTGACAACTCTAATGATGGTTATAATGAAGTTACTCTTCTCTCCCCAGGTATGCCTCTGTCACACCTCCCGGTCTTATTCTGTAGATCCAGGTAAGCCTTATGTGTACATGAATTAAATGTTGCATTTTTAAAATATTAGTCAAACACATCATTTACTAGTATGCTCCCTTTCCAGTAGTCAAACTCATCATTTACTTAATGGTATGTGCCCTTCCAGTAGTCAAACTCATCATTTACTCAATATAATGTACCCTTCCAGTAGTCAAACTCATCATTTACTTGATGGTATGTGCCCTTCCAGTAGTCAAACTCATCATTTACTTAATGGTATATGCCCTTCCAGTAATCAAACTCAACATTTACTTAATGGTATATGCCCTTCCGTAATCAAACTCATCGTTAACTAATCGTATGTGCCCTTTCAGTAATCAAACTCAACATTTACTTAATGGTATATGCCCTTCCGTAATCAAACTCATCGTTAACTAATGGTATGTGCCCTTTCAGTAATCAAACTCAACATTTACTTAATGGTATGTGCCCTTTCAGTAATCAAACTCATCATTTACTTAATGGTATGTGCCCTTCCAGTAATCAAACTCAACATTTACCTAATGGTATGTGCCCTTCCAGTAATCAAACTCAACATTTACTTAATGGTATATGCCCTTCCGTAATCAAACTCATCGTTAACTAATGGTATGTGCCCTTCCAGTAATCAAACTCATCAATTACTTAATGGTATGTGCCCTTCCAGTAATCAAACTCATCAATTACTTAATGGTATGTGCCCTTCCAGTAATCAAACTCAACATTTACTTAATGGTATGTGCCCTTCCAGTAATCAAACTCAACATTTACTTAATGGTATATGCCCTTCCGTAATCAAACTCATCGTTAACTAATGGTATGTGCCCTTCCAGTAATCAAACTCAACATTTACTTAATGGTATATGCCCTTTCGTAATCAAACTCCTCCTTAACTAATAGTATATGCCCTTCCAGCAATCAAACTCAACACATACACAATGGTATATNNNNTAATGGTATGTGCCCTTCCAGTAATCAAACTCAACATTTACTTAATGGTATGTGCCCTTCCAGTAATCAAACTCAACATTTACTTAATGGTATGTGCCCTTCCAGTAATCAAACTCAACATTTACTTAATGGTATGTGCCCTTTCTTTAGTCAAACTCATTTACATTTGTTTTTTGTTTGTTTTTTTTTTTTTAAAACTCTCCAATATAACTTTACAAAAGGAGTCTATTACCAGAAAACAATAAGTCTGTCAATGACGTTTGATGTCACCCCTGAACTCTAAAGCCTTACCATCATCTTATCAATTAACCATTTTTAAAGGAAATAGTTTCGTGTGTTTTAAAGAAAAGACCAAAATGCATGTGAACTGTAATCGAACCACGATCTTTTGCACCGTGTTAGTGAAATGTTTGTGATCAACTCGTCTTTAAGTTGGAGGGTTTAAACTTGAACTAGGACGAGCGATGCAGTTTACATCTTCCACCCTTGCCCCCTCCTCCTCCACACACTTTTACCAAATGTAGCATGTCACTCTGGAAAGTATGCAGTGCAATGACAATTTATTTCTTTGGGGTTCAATTTTAGGAATATATAACAGATCATGATGGAGTAGATGGGGTTTTTTAGTCAAGAAATTGAGAACCCCTGAATAAGAACTTTGCAGCGTCTAAACTCGACACACGCAACACAGTTGACGGGGCCAGTGTCGTCAACACAGGACATGAGCTTGGCCCGACGGCGACCATGGTTCAATCACAAAAATGACGGAACGTTTTTTAAGACTTGGTGGTGGTGTCTGTCTTCAAGAGTCCACAAACATGTCTGACACTTCAGGCTTCTTTACAACACTTCGAATTGTAGCCCCACCCCCGCATCTTGACAATGAGATATGAATAATCACTACCGTCGGAGGGTCGGGGGGAGGGGGGCGTGGCGAGGGGGCTGTTCACTCTAGGTGGCACTTTTTTCTATCTAAGGAAAAGGGGGGGGGGGCATTTTGTACCGACGATAAGGTTTATTGAAAAAAAAAGTGTGGGGGGGGGGGCGATGCAGCAAAAAAAATAATCTTGGCTTGCCCACCCCCTTCCCGGCTCAGCTCTAACCCCCCAGCTTCGACCATCGGAAATCCGAAAATTCCCCCGCAACACATTGCCCCTATGTCCTTTGAACAGCGTTTCCATTTCGTCCCCAAGGCTCGTTGGCTTTTTTTCTTTTTTTTTTCCTTTTTCTCTCAAAGCTGACTGTGTGCATTAGTGGTCTAACATCGACACCTGTCGTCATGTCACAATAAGCTGTCGTCACTCGCGTTATGAAGAATGGTTTACTATTAATGTTCTGATTTTTTTTTAATACCCCGTTATCTATTTATTGGAAAGGGGATTTTTTTAATTTTTTTTTTTTTTGAGGGGGGGGTGTGTTTTGCCTTCTGCGTCTGTACCAACCTTATTAAAAGATAATTACTCTGGGACATTTGCTGCACAAAATGAAAAGAATACAAAGGTGATCTCATAATGAAGAATTTTGTCTATTTTCTGTCCACTGTACTTACTCTGTTCTGGCTCCCTCATTTTTTCTCTTATTCTTTCATTCTTTCTTTCGCTCTCTCTGTATCTGTCTCTTACTCCTTTCATTCTCCTCTCTTTGTCTCTCTTGCTCTCTCCCTGTCTGTCTATCTTGCTCTCTCTCTCTCTGTTTTGCTCTTTTCTTTTCTCTCTCTCTCTCACTCTCGTCTCTCTCTCTCTCTCTCTCTCTCTCTCTCTTTTTCTCTTTTTTTTTCTCTCTCTCTCTCTCTCTCTTCTCTCTCTCTCTCTCTCTCTCTCTCTCTCTCTCTCTCTCTCTCTCTCTCTCTCTCTCTCGTTCTCTTTCTTTCTCTTTCTCTCTCCATGGATCATATGCGAGTTCTGACATATGTACGGCTTATACACATATGAACGTCCTTAAAAATCATCTGAAGCACATCATTGATTACAAACTGAATTGACTGACCTAAAGGAATATTCTGTTAACACTACTATAAAACTCAAGGTCTGTGACCTTAGGCATGATTCTTCTAATCAAGTTAGTGTTGAAAATGCAGGATTTTTAAGCTTCAATGGTAGTCTATCGACAAGTCTAATTGGTGATCGAAAACAATATTCACGGGGAAAACGTCAAAAGTTGGGCGACCAAAAAAGTCACAAGTTTTGCTAGGGAAAAGGTCACAGAAAAAGGTCCCAGAAAAACGTTTTATTAACCGTAATTTTATTTTGTAAGACCATACAAATGTTAATATGTTAGATATCAGTAGTCTGCACAGGTCTACTACGGACAGACGTATAGGTCTAAGAAAGATTAGATTGTTTTTAAAGTGTTGATTGTTTTTCTCAATTGTCGTTGAACATAATATTGACTTGTTCCAAAGGTTTCAACAAATTTAATTGTTCTAACGCCATTCTTCGTAACTGATTTAATGTTGACCCCCGTCAGACACTCAACGACGCAATCATTAGGCTTCACCATAGCCAGCCGTCGAACGGAGACAATAGGAACAATAGATTCAATCATACCAAGATACCATAGCCAGACGTCATACAAAAACAATAGGAACAATGGATTCACTCATACCAAGAGACCATAGCCCGACGTCATACAGAAACAATAGGAACAATGGATTCAATCATGCCCAGATACAACGTAGAACCAAATGTCATAAAAGTAAATATCCCCAATGAAACAGGGTCACTAAACTAGTTCAAAATGTGAAACTATAATTAAAAATATCAAACTAGGGAACTGTCACGATGGCTATGTCACGATGACTGTAACATCGTGATTCTATTTCAACTGTTCGATAAACTAGTCCACACAAAGAGATATCGTAAATGTTATGAAACATGGCTAATGATGGTTTGAATTACCGTGGCAGATGGATGTATAATACAAGGATTGGCAAACCATGGCCCGCGGAACACACCGGCTCTTTTTATGTGGACCAGATTAATCAGACACGAACAACTTGTGTCGATATAACAATATAAGTTAAGCTTTAATAATAGTTTTACAAACACGTATACGTTTCGACACATGCCTTCATCAGTACAGCAACAACAACAAATTAAATAAGTATAAATTAAATATATATATATATATATATATATATTACCTAAAAAAGGGGATAAAAAGTAGGAGTGGGCGGAAAAACAGACAGAAACAAAGTAAAGAAGAGTGGAAAGGAAGTGATTTAGAGTAAAATGTAAAAAACCAAACAGGCAAAAGACATGGCAGTTACGTAAAATTGTGGATTTGGTTTATCCCGTATGGAGTCAACGTAGCAAATCTTGTTATCAATTTATTCTCCATATATATATCCTATCCGATGTGTTACTAGTATATAGTATACCAGTAACTGCGATGTCTAAAATTACATCATGGTTAGTGCTATTGAAATGTTTGGAGACCGGATAGAGAGCCTGTTTATTTATGTTGTTGAGGTGTTTTCTAAACCGGTCTCCCAGGCGACGACCTGTCTCTCCTATGTATAATTTACCGCACTTTTTACAAAGGATGGTGTAAATCACGTTGCAACTTGTACATGTAAAGCCATCTTTTATTCTGAATATTTACAGAGGTAAATTATCTTATCAACTTAAATCATGTAGGAACATGTGTTGCAACGGCTACGGTTGTAACTTTTGGTGCCTTTATGAGCTTTGATAGCAGGGAGGTGGCTTCTAACTGGCATGTCCCTAAGTCTCTTATCCTATCCGGAAAGCGAAAAGGTTTTTTTTTGAAAATCGCATTGGTGACCGGGTCTGCCATAAGAATTGAGTGTTTTTTTTCAGAGCCAGAAAACGAGCTTTAATGTTATGGAGATGAAAAGTTCAACTAAATTAAGACCTATCCCAAGCGCCAGATTGGGTGGCTTTAAAAGAATCCTGTCTAATCCCACCTTTAACTCGAGTGACTGCTGCTTTTAAAATTTGTTCAGGACATAACCTGCGTCGGAAAAAATCCAACATTTCAACCGTCATTACCTAAAAATCCTCATCATTGCTACAGAGTCTTCTCGGTCTCATCAACTGACAAAAAGGGGTGGAGTTTTTGCATGATTGAGGATGAAATGATGAATATGGACCACGAGCTAAAAATGGATGATCAATGTGAAAATTATTTTATTTATCGAAGTTGGAGCTTTAAAGGAGCTGTTACAGCTTGGCCTATCGACAACAGTGTATGTCTTGTACAGCTTGGCCCATCGACAACAGTGTATGTAGCTCTTGTACATATTGTCTATCACAGCGGTTCTCATCCTGTGGGTCGTGACCCCTCTTGGGGTCGAACGAGTCTTACAAAGTGGTCTACTTTATGAAGTAGAAAAGAAAATATTGTGGTTGGGGGTCGCCACAACACGAACTGGATTAAAGGGTCGCGGCGTTAGGAAGGTTGAGATCCACTGGCCTAGCATATGAGAGAACTAGAGCAATCGTTACAAAATCAATTACGAAGAAGCTTTATCATGAACTAGTCTGTTATTAACCATTCTCTTATTAACTAGTCTGTTTTTAACCAGTCCGTTATCAACCAGTCTGTTATTAACTATTCCGTTATTAACTAGTCTGTGATGAACTTCTCCGTTATCAGCGAGTTTGCTCTTCATGACAGGACTTATGTTAATCTGACATTGCTGTGTGGGACGATTCGGGAATTCCTCAAACCAATACCAATTAATGATGAAAACAAAAACAACTAAGCAAAACAAACACACACACACAAAAAACTATGTTAACATCCTCCACTTGAGGCAAACACTTCAAACTTTCCAACTCTTGACCAACACATCGTAAAGGCAAATCTCGGAAATCAAGTCTCTGTCCTCTTAATGACTCACTTAAATCGACTCTCTGCATTAGTTGGTGCTTTTTTTTTTTTTAATATGGACATAAATTTCAGATGTGCAACATCATTGTAACGTACAATGACAAAGGTGAAAAGTGACAGCGACTCTTAAACGGTCACATATTCTGGAATGGTATTTAACTGGGTACACGGGAAGAGATTTAACGTTGAGATGCTAGATTTAAAATGGTATGTGGTCAAGGATGAAGTGAGAAGATGGTTTGAAGATATCCCGTGGAGAAGGGATGGTGTGGTGTGACGTCCGGGGAGCAGGTCAAACTGACCAGCGTTGTGAAACACTCTCAGGATCAGTATTGTCATTTATTTTTATTTAAATTATATCAAGGGTTTGGATTTGGTGATGTTATAAATGGATTGTACCCTTAAACAGTCAAAATATGTCAACATATGACATTCTCATTTGTTTTATACTGCGCGTGGGAGGGAACGTGCCTTCATGACACGTGGGGCCCTCACTGACTATTGACGTGTCATAGTTGGCGCCACTCCAAAGGAGACACGATCAGATAACGCTAATCTGATATAATTTAGTTCATGACTTCGTACTTTTTGTGAAATGTTCTTGCTAATCTTCTAACGACCTAATTTGCCCACCCCCTCCCCGCGTACAGATAACCACTTAAGAAAACCAGCTCGCGAATCAAAGTACGATGAGCTCCGCAGACACTCGACTGCTAAGCGGTTTGAATCCAATTTCTGAAAATTTTTAGTCAGTGCCCATCCCTGGTGTAGTAAATAGTAAATACCGACAAGATAGCAACGCAATTCGACTTCTCGGCCATAAACACCAAGAGTCCAATCTAGCTCGACCATAAACATTCAGAGTCCAATCTAGCTCGACCATAAACATTCAGAGTCCAATCTAGCTCGACCATAAACATCCAGAGGTCAATTTAGCTCGACCATAAACATCCAGAGGCCAATCCAGCTCTTTCGCTCCTTTGAGTTAAAATCAGTTCCCGACACCTATAGTTAATGGTTTATTAGTTATTAATTTTCGTTCCTGAGAAAAAAAACAACGGTTAACGGTTTACAAACTAAAAGCTGATAAACTGAAGCCCCATCAACATTTCACATCTTTAATTGTCCGCTTATTCATGTGACAGTGTTCTTCATAATTCAGTGTCTTTCTTCAAATGAAACTTGACACTGTGTTACACAACTTAGTCTCTAATTCTCTTTTATCCATGTATCCATCAGGTTGGGCAAAGAAGCAGGCAGACATCTTCTTCTGTGTGGATACCTCAACCAGCGTTTACGTCCTTGATTACAAGATACAATTAAAATTTGTGGCAGACCTTGTGTCGAGGATGGACATCGGTCCGAGCTACACCCGTGTTGGTGTTGGCCTCTACAGTGAGGATCTCTATCTTCACATTCCCCTCAACAACACCATGAGTAAAGATGAGCTGATTTCTACCATCATGGCTGCACCCCATCACCGCGGTAATGGATATATCTCAAGGTAACTGTGACTGTAATTTTCCACTGTTCTAAACCATAAAGTAGAGTCTGGGTAGCAAAGCATGGTTAATAGCCTACTCTGTGACTTCTGGGTAGCAAAGCAAGCTAAAAAGCCCATTCTGAGGCGTCTGTATAGCAAAAGCATTGTTAAATGCCCACTCTGTGAAGATCGGAGGAGTGGGTGGACAGAACGACCGCAAGAATTTTTCAGCGAAAAGCTATCAGAAATGCTGCTATCGAGCAAAAGAGACCCTTGGTGGAAACTTAATATTCTGGTGGCACAGATTATGACCAAACATTTACCAAGTCGTAGCTGCTGTCACGTGGCTACATCACGTGGCTACATCACGTGGCTACACTCACGTCCTAAATGCAAGGAGACCCGATCCCCCCCCCCCAATAGAAAAAAAAATGCCATGAGGCGCCCCAGGTGCTTGCCTATTTGTTGATAGTTGTATAACTTGAGTTACCAAACAGATTTGAGGTTCCATTGTTACACTCAGAAGAGACCCATTTATAGGAACAACGTTCTAAGTAGTATTTAAATGATGCTGACGCTTTTATCAATATCATCTGTTTCTATTCATTTCTGCTAATCAAAAGTAGCGTAGAGAAAGAACAAAATTTTATGAAACCGACTACTACCAATTAGGGTTAGTTTCTTCTTTTATTCTTACCAAACCCCCCCCCCCCCGCGCATTAAGTAGTCTTGTGTATGACATCACAAATTCTTTGTTCTAAGGATGATCCATTGATATCCTCTTGAATTACTTCATATTACAATGTACAGGGTACATTAAGATTGATAACTGTATCAAAGTCTAATTTTTATAAGCAACAAACTTCTATTCGTAATTGAACTCTGGATTTAAATGTATGTGATAAAAAATGTCTATAAATGGAGTTAGCTTTACAGTGGTGTACATGTAAACACCCCA